AGATCCCAGTTGTTGATTCTTTGTGCTAGTTCACAGGCAACTGAGGTTTTGTTCATAAAGTCTTTTCCTATGCCAATGTCTTTGAGAGTTCAACCTAATCTAACCTCTAGCAGTGTTAGTGTTTCTGTTTTAATATCTAGATCTTTAATCCACTTTGAATTTAGTTTACTGCATGGTGAAATATGGGGGTCTAGTTTTAATCTTTGTTAAGTTGAGACCCAGTTCTTCCAGCACCATTTATTAAAGAGGGGCCTAGGTCTCCAGGATCAGCAGCTCTATCTTGGTCTTGGTGTCTCCTGGCCTCCTCCACAGCTCTCACAGGTCAGTCATGGGCCAGGCCATGAAGCAGCAGCAGTGGCGGGCCAGCTCCTGCTCTTCCTTCTCCTCCAGCAAGGGGCTCTGTGCCGCTAAGCTCTTGGACACCATCTCTGTCCACTGCACATGCCCAAACATGGCAGTGGCCAGCCTTACTAACCCTGCCAGCACTGCAGCCAGCCCAGTGCCCAGCCAGGGGCTGATTCTGCCTACTGGTAGGAGAGGAGCCCCAACCCATGCTAGAAGAAGAAACTGTGTTGGAACAGAGCTACTGCCGGTTTATACCTAGGGCAGGGGGCAGGGAATGCTGGGAGCTGTAGCACTGCTCTGATTGTCACAATAGTGGCCACAGTGCTCAGAAGAATCCACCCTGCCCCAAAAGGCTAGTCTGACAAGAAGAGTGTTGAGTACAAAAGGGCTGTGGAAGAAAAGAGAGAGATAAAAAAGCCTTTCTTTTTGGGTCTGCAATCTACAAGGCCACAGAAGAAGACAAAGTAAGGGTGGGAGGCTGAAGATGGAAAATTTAAAGACACTTATCTTACTCTTTTAGGGAATTCAAATATCTCTTGTTTCACACTTGCAGCAACTCCTGTAAATTTGAGAGGGCCAACATCCACTCTGTGAGCCACTCTTTCCTGCCCCCCACCAAACACACAAGAAAGTGAGGTAAGTAAACCAATGTGATACGTAGGTGTCTGGCTTCTGTGACCATGCCATATGTTCCATGGTCCATAGGCATGTACATATGGTACCTGTACATAATAAAAGTTTTAACACTTTTCACACTCGTTTAAAGGGCAAAATTGTCCCTAAAGTATTCTGGATGAGTTTAATTTACAGTATCAGATAGTGATTTAAGACTCTCATCATTGTTCCTCCAAATTTTTTTCCAGTGGCTGAATGCACTAATGGACATTTGATGTGTATTTATCACATCCATTGTTCTGAGCAGTGTATCTTCTCCACCCACAATTGCACCTGGCAACTCCCACAGGTGCACATGTTAAAGGGGTGGGCTCTCTTGTCCACACTACCTGCCAAGATGGGAAGGTAAAGACCTGGGTTGAGATATAAATAAACTTGCAAGGAGAAAATGTCATTAGTTTCCAGGCCTAGTGTAACCTGTCAGGAAGCCAAGTTGGAAGAAGAGGAAAGGAAAGACAATTATCACTGGAGCAGCAGTTGTGTGCCTGTTCTGGATGCCTATATTCTGGTATGTCTATGAACCTTATTAATGCTAAGAAACTTCTGTGGCCCACTCTTCTGTAAGAAAATCCTTCATTATTGCTCTCATTTTCCAAGTATGCATAACATGAGTAAATGGCAAGCAGGAACAGACCATTTTGAACAGGACTAGATGGATTCATTGCTTAACTTTATCAAACTTTTGAAGAACTAATTCAATTCTTTTGAAAGTTTTCTGAAAAATTTAAAAAATTCCAAATTCTGTATCAGGACAGCATTTCTCTGATACTAAAATCAGGCAGATAAAACAACAACGAAATTGCAGACTCATATCCTTGATGAATATAAATGCAAACATTCTCAACAAAATAGCAAACTAAATCCAATAGTACATAATAAAAGATTACATCCTATAATTGAATGTCATTATATTGTATACCTAAAATGTACCAATGATTAGAATGAATAATCGATAATGTAAAATAGGAAGAAAAGGCCCAAAGGGGTAG